TATATGGATAGCCACCTTTGGGAAGTGGGAAGTGGGCCAGTCCCATGGTGTGGTGGTTAAGGAAGCTGGATCCCACATGGCCAACTTCACGGTTCAAATCTCAGTCCTAGAGATTTAGAAAACACACCAGGTACGAGTGTGCACAACACATGCATGCCCAAAATCCCCACAGAATGGAGAAATAGAGACAGGACTGAGGTGTGACCACAAGGGAGTTGCTTTCTTCCCCCTGATCCCTCTCTCTGGCAAGAGGACGTGCCCTCTGGCAATACTTACTGAAGTGGAAGGTCCTGTTCCAACTCTTTGCAAGCAGAATACATAAATTACTTAGAATTCTTCTGCACAAGAGATTTGTCTATATTTTGACTTTTATGCACTTTTACCGGTATTTTTGCCATAAGTCTTTTTACTTTCTAGAAATTCAAGAACCCTGATGACATTTCAAGGAACCCAGATACATCTTATTTCCATGAACAAGAATGCATGCAGTTCTAAGACATGGAATTGAGTGTAGCGGGACGGCTCCATGGTGCCCCAGAACGCGCTGCCCAGGCAATGCTGGGTCCCTGTGGGAGACCTTGGGTTCTGTCTCCAGGTTGAGCTGCACATGCTGGGCAAGCACCAGTGCCTGTGGTCCTGGGAGGGAGGTGGTGTGAGACCCTGGAGCTCGTATCTCTCTGTCTCTGTCCCTTCTCTCCCTCTCATGAAAGAAAGAAACTTCAAAAACGTTGAAGGTAGGAAAAAAGCCAATAATTACATTAATGTCTCCTTTATTGTTGATATACTTTAATAGAAGAGGATTTGGGAAATACCAAAGCAAAAAGAAAACCCTCGCTAGTTCCACTGCTGAAAGGATCTCTATTTGTTATCTTCAATGTTTCTTCTGTGCACAACTTTCACATAGAATATACTGCCTACGTAATTTTGTTTCTTGCTGCTTCCTTTTTTTCTCTTGCTTATTATCATATCAAAAGCATTTCCACTCTGTGGCTCTACAGATTTATAACTATTATTTTCAATAGCCACTAAATACCCCCTCACTTGGCTTATCATGTCCCTACCACCCACCAACCTAGCACAATGCCTGGCACATAGTTAGTGTTTAGAAATTATTTGTATTAGGCCAGTAGGTGGCTGGGAGGCTAAGGTGCTAGATCCCACATGGCCAGCTGCATGGTTCAAGTCCTGGACCAGGCTTAAAAATCACGCTGGGTACGTGTGCCTGCATGCCCCACATCTGAGAGGAAACTGGAGGAAAAGGTATTGCTGGGTGACCATCCTCCCTGGAGGGTGGGAGGTGATTTCTTAACTCCCCCGCCTCTCCCCTGTCTCTCTCCAGCAAGTACATGCACCATAGTGCAAAAAAGAAAACAATAAAAGAAATTGTTACATGAATGAATATATAACAAAATAAGCACCCCCTTGTTTTCAGAAATGTAGGAATTTCCTTTTTCTTGATCTTAAATAGTTCTGCGACATTTAGGTATTACCTAAGGATAGTGTCCCAGAGTGGAATTACCCGATTAGTGGGGGCCAAAAACTTTTAAAGATAAATGCACCAAACCTTCTTCCTCCCCTTCCCTCTGTTCCACAGGCAATTGTGCCAAGAGTAAAAATTTACCATTGATTAAAGACTTTGTGGGGTCCCCCCCCATCTTTTTTCTTCCTCCTCTCCCCCTCCCCTCCTACCAAAAAGGGGGGAAATTATCTGAGAAGGTGAAGATGTTCTCAGACAATCATATTAACATATTCCAACAATCGCAATTTGCAAAATAGTAATCACAACTCCCGGGATCTGGGAGCCATTAATCAAAGCTGCAGGTTTAATTCCATTTTAAATATTGATGAAATGTGCTTCGGCAGCCTCACCCTGGCGTGGCAGGGCCAGGGGCACCGCAGTGAGCCGCGGAGGTGGAGGGAGGGTTGGTGAGCAGCTGCTGGGAGGGGAGGCATCTGTGATTCAAATTGGTGGCTGTGCAGCCAGGTAGAGTGAAAGGGGTAGTGAAGAGGGCTGTTAAGTCCATTGCTGTCAATTCGTAACGATCAGGGAGGGGCCCGAGGACTGGTGCAGCACAATACACCCAGTTTGTCTGGTTTCAGGGGTTACCGCTGAAGAGGTTGCAGCTGCACTGATTCGAATAGCCTGGAGACTTCAGAACTGTAATTATCAACCAGGCTGCTCACAGTGTGGCAAAAGTGGGCTCCACCAGCGCTTAACTCCTTGTGTGCTGACGCAGCTTCGCCGCTCTCCCCGCCCCTGAGTTTCCCAGCCTCGCCAGGGACACTCAAGCAGCCTCCTCAGGGGAAACCGAGACCCACTGGCTGCTTAGGACAGTCCTCAAAGGCCAGAGCTTGCCAGGCAGCAAGCCCTTCGCCCTTCAGTTGTATGTAAATAAGTTGCGAGGAGATGCTTATTCTGTGAGCAGCTTCAGCTCTGGGCATCTTCGCATCTGCCCTGGGGTGAAGAGTCTGGCTGCAGAGCAGGGTGAAGCTTGGATCCCACAGGCCACAGACCTGGGCCCAGGCTCATCCTCTATAAAACAGGGGTCATCTCCCTGACCCTACTGGGCTGACCCAAAAGATCCAATGGGATGTAGTGTTTGTAAAGCACCTCCCTCTGCTTTACCTGAGACTGGGGCTTTTCACAGAAGAGCCGGGCATGTCGGGCATGTCAGAGCAGGGGGGATCTGACCTGGAGGGCAGGCTTTTTGCAAACCTCTGCATTTCAGCTCTCAGGGAGTCCCTTATTCCCCAGCTCCCACCACTTGTGATCCAAGGATGGGACTACCCTAAGGAGAGGAGACAAGGACGCCCCGAAGTAGGCCTGAGAACTGCCTGAGAGCTGTGCTTGGCAAGGCCGGAGGGAGGGTGGACAGGCAGGAAGATGGGCAGGCTGAGTTCTGGTGAATGAAGGGTGTGTAGGTGTGTGACCCTCCCCCTAGACTGTAACCTGGGGAAGCTCTCCCACGTATCCATGACGGGATGTCCCAGAAATGCACAGTCCCATGTGTCCTGGTAGCAGGAAGTTGCAGGCAACCTCTGGGCCCACCCCTGGGAGCCGGATAGTACATGTGACAGGAGCCATCCCTGCAGTGTTGGGTGGCATCAGGAAGAAGTATTGAATAGATGTACGTGTAGTGACAAGAATAGATCTTGGAAACAGAGCTGGGTGAAACAAGTAAGACACAATGAAATTCACAGCACAATGCTGTTTATGTAAATTAAAAACACATTTGTACACTAAACAACAGTACATATTTTATAGAGCTACGTGCATTTTTAAGGGTATATATCTCACCAGTTAGAGTGGGCCCCTATTGTGGTGGAGGAGGCACTGGGTGTGGGTTTGGAGAAAAGGGAAAAAAATAAAAATAAAGTAAATCTGCAGAGGGGTCTTACATAGAGAGATGATGGTGGTATGCAGTGAACTGAAGAATGTGAATCAGTCAACTCTCTGTATTTGAGGTTTAAAAACAGCACTGGGGGGCCAGCAGGTGGTATAGTGGTTAAGGTACTGGACTCCCACATGACTCTCGAGGGCTTCAAACTCACACTGGGCACATATGCATGCATGCATGCCCAAAATACCAAGAGGAGAATGGAGAAAGAATTGTGGCATGGTCACCTCCCTGGGGGAGGGGTGATTTCTCACTTTCTCTCTGTGTCTCTGTCTCTCTGGCGTGCATACCCACACAACAAAAACCTCTCTCCTAGAAAAATTTAAAAAGCACTGGTTGGGCCAACAGCAGTAAAACATGTCACTCTGCAAAGTGACCCCACATGCGAAGGTTCCCGGTTCAAGTCCACAGAGTACACCAGATGCATAGGTGCCCACGACCCAGGGCTGACTGAAGCCTGGGGGCGGATTGTGATGCCATGACCTTGTTGGGGGTGCATGCCCTCTCTCACTCATGGAAGAACAAACTTAAAAATGGAAAACAGCACAGGCCCTATAGGTAGACAACCCTAGGTTCAAATGCTGGGTTCTCCCACACACTGACTCTGTGGCTGTGGACAAGTGACGTACCTCCATGAGTCTCCATTTGTTCATCTGTGAAGCAGTGGCACAGACTTGGCTGTCAGGCGCCATGACGATGAAACTGAAGGAGATAACTGTATGAAGGGGGATACCAAAGAGCTCCTGCACCCCAAATCTCCATTCTCCTCTGAAGGTACCTGAGCAAACAGAGGGTGGCATCCCCTTGGGGCAACCACAGGCTCTTTGAAGGGGTCAAGAATAGAGTTCAGGAGCCAGGAGGTGGCGTGGTGGTTAAAGGTGCTGGATTACCACATGGCCAACCATGGTTCAAATCCTGGACCTAGTGGCTTGCTTTCTCACTTTCCTCTCTCTCTTTGTCTCTCTCTGATTAAACTGGAAAATAATAATAACGGGGACCGGCCGGTAGCATGGTGGCTAAAGGTGCTGGACTCCCACATGGCCAACCATGGTTTGAGTCCTGGACCTGGCGGCTTGCTTTCTCACATCCCTCCCCCCCTCACGCACACTCTATCCCTCTCTGGTCAAATTAAAATAAATAAATAAATAAAGTTAAAATAATTCTTAAAAAACAAATCTCAAGCTAGCATATCTTATCTTTAAAAATATAATAATAATATATAGATAAAGTTAAATAAAAAAAGAATAGAGTCCAGAGGGAGCTAAAATCTGAAGACTCTCTCCTAGCAACACCAGCAAGACCTGGACTCAGGTGCCCTTTGTGGAATGTCACCAGGAAAGCACTGCCCCCTGCCTGCCAGGGTCAGTCTGGCTCAGGTGACCCTAGGCTGCCCCGCCAGCAGCACCCACACACTGTGCACCCTCCTGTGTTCTGTCTCCCAAGGCCAGGCTCTCAGAGGGGCGGCTGACATGCAAGGTCTGCTCCTTTCCACACAGAACTGAACAGAGGGGCTGAGGCCGGCGGTCTCCCTGCTCCGTGCTGGGGGGTGGGGGGGACAGAGACGAGCACCAGGCATGACCACCTCTTCTTCTTTCATTGCAGATGATGATGAGCACGAGTGGATCATCCGCACCTGTCGCAAGGGCTGGGACGAGATCGTGGGTCACAGGCCCAAGCTATGAATTCTGCAGCCGCCTCCACCAGAGGCTTCTGTCTGCCCCGCCGGCACTGCGGCTGCTCTGAGGAGCAGGCTGCAGGCCTCAGTCCTGACCTTTGACTCAGGAATAAATTTTTTCTGCAGGCAGTGGCCCCGGGTCTATTTTTCTTGGGAGACTTTCTCAGAGGGCATCCTCATTCCACCTGCGTTAGAAACCGCTGGGCAAAACGGTGAACTGCAAATCACCACAGATCATCTCGGGCTCAAAACAGGACTTCTAATCCGAATTTCTGGGAATGGGGCCTACCAGTTTGCACTCCCAGGCATCCCTTATGCAAATGAAAGTTTGAGAGCCTGATAATAAGAGATACATGTGGGCCAGCAGGTGGTTTGGTGGTTAAGGCACTAGTCTCCCACATGGCCAACCACAGTTTGAGTCTTGGACCTGGCAGCTTGCTTTCTCACTTTCCCTCTCTCTCTTTCTCTCTCACGAGCACACATGCCCTATAGCTAATTAAACAATAATAATAAAAATTTTTTAAAAAAAATAATAGAAGGGCTAGCAGGTGCCATAGTGGTCAGGGTGCTAGACTCCTACATGGTCGACTGCAGTTCAAGTGTTGAACCAGCAGCTTAAAATGCACACTGGGCACATGTGTATGCATGCCCCCAATCTGGAAAGGACAACGGGAGAGAAGGGATTGCAGCGTGGCCATTCCCCTTTGGGGGTGATTTCTCAATTTGTTACTCTCTGTCTCTGGCAAGCACACACACCCTATAGCAATAATCTCTGAAAATAAACAAATAAATAAATAATAAATACATGTAATTGAATGAGCCAGGAGGCATTATCTCTGCTCCTCAGAGATAATGAGCAGAGATAACAGCCTTGCAAGGGAGGTCTGAGCATCACTCTGCGCAGGTGGGCATCTGAGGTCCGAGAGGTAGAGTGCCTTCCTTTGCCAGGACAGCAGGACCTACTCACTATACCCAGACTCACAGCTAGTAACTTCCCGCAGGCCCAAGAATGCTTACCCAGGACTGCCTTTCCCTTTTGATAGCACCCCTACTTGAGCCTCATACCCTAAGCACAGAGTCAGCACAGTGGATGCATTTGGCATACAATCATTCCTCAAAATCACCTAGAGCTCACAATTGCCAGCAAGTGGCACATGTTCCAGGGCCACACACGGGCTACAGGCATTCTGGGTATTTGCACAGCTGTCCTGCCTCCAAGGTGGCTAGATCCTGCAGCCCTCTGTGCTTTATCTCCTGGTTCCACAGAGCTGCCCAGGGAGGCAGGGGAGTGAATGAGGCTTGGGAGGTCTGCAGGGGGAGGAAGCCAGACCTCAGACTAGGGCCCAGATGTGTCAGGCTGGGGCTGAGACCAGGAACCAGAGGGAGGCCTGGGCCCACTCTCAACTGTGCCATGGAGACCTGAGGGAATCACTCCTCCCCCTCCAAGGCTCCAGTCACCTTGGTACAATGATGAAGTTAAGCTCCACCAGAGGTTTTCAAACTGTTTTGAAAACAGAAAGTACATTCATGTAAAGAAACACACACACAGAGCTAATGTATTTGCAAAGATACACATGTGTGTGTGTCTCTGTGTGTGTGCGTGTATAAGTCAACAGTTGAAAAAATGGATTGGAAGAGTAGAAGGAGGATGGGCAGAAATACGGTCAGGGATGGGGGATAAGAAAAAGCTAATAGAATAAAGAGTGAGCCCTGCAGAATGGGGGACCATGAGCACCATAAGCTGAAGTTTATGAGCAATTCCTTTTGGTGCAGAGCCACAGAGGAGCTGGAGAAGCCTTCACACCCTACTGTGCAGCTCTGCTCTCCATTCTTGGAGCCTGGGCTTAAACAAATGATCTTCC